CACAGCCCCCCCGCCTCTCCCCCAGGGAGTCCCAGGAGGAAAGTGGAGGGGGGCTGAGAAAGGCCCACCTGGGTCCCCCTTGCAGCGGGGCCCTCCAAAGGCCATCCATCGGTCTCCTGCAGCAGGTCTCCCAGGTGCCCCTTCCTGCATGGGTCCCTCCTCCACTGGCAGCTGGGAGCGATGGGCCCTGGACTCCCTCCTGACAGCTGCCCCTCCTCCTCCTCCCCCCCCAGCCCATTTCTTGCACCAGTGGACGTGCGAGTGCCACTTCTTCAATGGGACGCAGCGGGTGTGGTTCCTGAAGAGCTTCTTCTATGACCGGCAGGAGTTTGTCCGCTTCGACAGCGACCTCGGGAGGTTCGTGGCCATCACCCCGTTGGGGCAGGTGGATGCCGACAAGTGGAACAGCAATCAGGACATCCTGCTGGACGTGAAGGCCGCCATAGATTACTTCTGCCGGCACAACTACGGGGTGTACAACTACAAGGCAGCCAAGAGAGCGCGTCTGATTGGCCGGAGAAGTGAGTCCGGGAGGGGGGGCTTCCTGGGGGGAGAGATACCAGGACCCCCCCTTTCATGTGATTCTCCCTTATAAAGATTTACTCCGTATTTATTCTACGCTCTCAGATTGAGTGCCCAGATCTACGAAATAACCCTAACCCTTATTATTATGGTTGGGCAAAGAGCCATCCAGATGTTTAGACTGGGTTTGGCATTTTCGTCCACCTATCGAGTCCTTCCCAAGGACCTGGGGTAGGCAGATGTTGTTTGATGGGGCTGAAGGTGTCGTCGCGGGACGGAAGCTGTTCCAAGGAAAGCCGCCTTGTGCAACTGACCGGCGGTGATTTTGCCAATGCCGACGGCCTTCAAGGGGTGCTCCAGATGTTTTGGGATTGCACCCAAGGGGCCTATAACTATTGGGACTCTCTTTGCCTTCTTTTTCCAGGTCTTGTAGTTATCAGCTTTACCTTCTAGTTTTTCTATGTACTGGCCATGTAAAATAAGTTTTTTAGCTGGTGTTGGCCTTGTTCTGGACAATATTTAACATGTAATTTTTCCCTACAACCAACACAACTTTCTTGTCAACTGGCATAATATTAAATAATATTAATTCACATTCCCACGATACTTGCCATATTTACTTCATTACTTCTGCTAATTTGTCTAGTGATTTTTGATAGCCCCCCAAAGCCCCCAAAGATCATCTGCAAATTGCTTCAGTTTCATGAGTTTGTCTCATGAGGCGTCTCAGGGCTTCCAACTGCCCTCTTCAAGGTTCCTCCTTCAGGGGTTCATCCATCCATCCATCCATCCAGTGAAAGGGAGCTTTACAAGCTGCCCCAAATTCCCCCAAAAGCACTTTCTCCTTGAATGTTTTATTCCATCCCTGGCAATGACTCCATCTGGCTCAGGGGCCTCCCTGGATTCCAGCAGATCAACAGAATTACAGAGTTTTGTAGCTTTCGGGGTTCAGCCGCGTCTTGTGACAGCATGTCCAACATTTCTGGAAGATTTGCCACCTTTAAAAAGCCTTTATCTGCTCACTATGTAGATCCAGATTATATTGAATTTTTGCAAAATTCAAAACACTGACCATGAATTTCATTCTGATTAGTACAATTTGTTCCTGAGGAATCCCTCATCAAAGGTATTATTTTTACTTCACTGAAAATGTTTCATATGAGAGGCCAATAATTCTCCACCTCTTTCTCTTAATCCCAATACCTTTGTTTCATTTCTTTAAAAAAACTGTTTGTGTTTTCAGAGCAGATCGTTGGTCCAGCTCCAGTTTGTTGTTGTTCAGTCGTTAAGTCGTGTCCGACTCTTCGTGACCCCATGAACCATA